ATTAGTTGGTCGTCATAAATCGGAAATCGGGAAACAACAGATGGACAGAGAGAATGATTATAATCCATATCTTATTCCATACGATATCTAGAATTGAGGAATATATGATCCCTTATCTAATGGACACGTCATTGACTAGGTCAGAGTTCGGCAACGGCTTTTAAGAGCTACGATTGCTAGTCGGGATTTTGGAGTCATACTTTCAATAATAGTTATTAGACTTATCCAAATGGGAGACTGTTGGATTAGGTGTCTAAGCCCATAACTATAATTAGTATGTACTTTACCCGAGAGTAGCATGGTCCATTTGGGTTGCATATCACCACGACAATTTGATAGGATGGACTTTTGAGAAGAGGTTAATTATGATTTATTAACAGATTATAAGTTCTAATATATTAATATGAAATCATATAATTTAATTAGTATTGATCAAGAATTAATTTGGGATTAATTTAGTGATCATAAGAGAATAATTAAATATATGGGGTTGATTGTGTAAATCATTGATTCTTATAATGTGGGCCAATGATCCATAATTCTTTAGGTTGGGCTAAACCAATGTGACAACCCATGGATAGTCCATGGAGGTTTAAACCCATGGATCCTAAGGAATACGGAAGGTCATGCACATTAGGGTTTACATGGTGTAACCCTAATCTTGCCACACTATATAAGAAGCCCCTTAGCATCCAAAATCACACACTAGTGTTCTTGGAGATCGTAGAGCCGATTTTAGGTGCTAGTATACTCTCTCTCAAAATTCATCCTTTGTCCAAGGTGTGTTGTGATTCCATTTGAGGTGTCACACTTGGGTCACTAAGTTCTTAAATGTCAAATACATCAAGTTCATCAAGTTCTACAAGCTACATAAAGAGGTAAACTCCTAACTAGCGTTTTATGTTTTATATCATTTGTATGCTAGTTGTAGGCTTAAAGCTTTGGAAACATCATTGCATGTATAATTAGAGAAAACATAGATCCTAAGCTTTTAGGGTTGTGTGTGCACTATAGGATGTTGTATTATACTAAAACCCAACAAGTACGCCGTGCGTACTCCCTATGTACGCCCCGCGTACTCCCTATGTACGCGCCGCCTACTGGGTTCATTCTCAAACCCTAAAATACTCTGAATGTCATAACTTCTTCATTACAATTCCGATTTCGATGATCCTTATATCCATGAAAAGGTAACGAGAAACTCTACCCTTTTATCAACTCATACTTTTCATACAACTCCCCGAACGGAAATCCGATTTCCATAAAATCCCGTTGCCATTTTATTAAAATACCCATTGGCTCCAAAACCAAATCTGAACGCCCGAATCATCTACATATCATCACCCACACCCAAACAGGTAACAATTCGGAACAGGGTGTTACAACCCTCCCACACATAAATTAGATTTCTTCCTCAAAATTAGTCTTTACCTTTCCGATTTCCAAAAGACCACTACCCCCTCCCCGAAATCGACCAAAATGTCGAATCCCTGGAAGGTTTCCAACTTAAATGCTTTATTGATGCCTACAAAGGATACCACCAAGTCCTGATGCGGCGGGAAGACGAGGAAAAAAAACTTTCCACACTGATCGAGGCATGTTCTGCTACCAGAAGATGTCATTCGGCCTTAAGAATGTCAGGGCAACATATCAACGCCTAATGGATAAAGTCTTCGCAGAACAGATCGGAGAGAATGTAGTGGTGTATGTAGACGACATGGTCATTAAAAGTTACAGTGAAACAGCATTGCTACGTGATGTAGAAGAGCCCATCCAGACACTAACACAAGCCCATATGAGGCTTAACACGGGAAAATGCACTTTCGGAGTAGAAGAGGGCCAGTTCCTAGGATAACGGATAACCAAAGAGGGAATCAAGCCAAATCAGGTCAAAATCCAGGAATTCCTCGATTCCAAGATCCCATACAATATAAAAGGAGACCAAGAAATCAACGGGAGGCTAACCATGCTAGGCAGGTTCGTCGCCAAGTCAACAGAAAAAGCCCAATCGCTTTTCCAAACTCTGAAAGGGTGTGTCGAAAAGAACCACTTCAAATAGACGAAGGAGGCTGACGCAACCCTCCAATGCTTAAAGGGGGCCCTATGTCAGTTGCTAACAATGGCAAGCCCCCTCCCAGACGAAACCCTACAAGTATACCTCGCGGTCGCTGGTGAAGCCATCTCGTTGATTCTGGCAGTAGAGAGAAACAAGAAGCAGTCGCCGATACATTTTGTGAGCAGGGCACTGCAAGGTCCCGAAACCAATTACCCCATCCTGGAAAAACCAGTACTGGCACTAATCTACACAGCCAGATGCCCACGACCCTACTTTCAGACATACAAAATCGAAGTACTGACCAGCCACCCGATAAAACAGGTCCTACTGCGACCCGAAAAGTCGGGACGACTGGCAAAATGGGCAATAGAGCTGGGGGAACACGACATAGAATATCGGCCGCGAACCAGTACCAAGGCCCATGCCTTGGCAGACTTCTTGGTAGAAATACAAGACACGTTCAGGGGAATAACAAAGGCCTTATCTGCAGACCCGATGGAGCCCGAAGCAAGCAAAGACGTATGGGAACTACACACCGATGGTGTTGCGCGTAACGAGGGTTCGGGCATGGGCCTGATTCTGAAAAACCCCAGGGGGGACGAAATAACATATGCCCTAAGATTCAATTTTCAAGTTTCAAACAATGAGGTCGAATACGAAGCACTCCCTGCAGGCCTTCACTTGGCGCAGGAAGTCAGGGCGAAACACCTCCGAGCATTTAGCGATTTGCTACTAATAACAAACCAGATAAATGGCACTTATGAAGCCAAAGATCGGAGAATGCACAAATACGTGGAAAAGACGCAGCACATATCATACTCGTTCAACAGCTTCAAAATCAAACAAATACCCATGGGGGAAGAATACAAGAGTTGACGCTCTTAGTAAATTGGCCCCAACGTCCTTCGACTATTTAACTAAGAAGGTGCTTGTAGAAGTACTCGAAGAAAAGAGCATCGACAACAAGCAAGTCGATGTCGTGACAGAACTGCCAAACTTGACTAAATCATACCAAGATTACTTGTATCATGGGATCCTTCCAGATGACCCGAAAGAGGCTAGGAAGATAAAAATCCAAGCCCCCCAGTTCATGGTGAAAGGCGCACAGCTGTACAAAAAGGGGTATCTAGCACCGTGACTCAGATGCATCTCGTGCAACGAAGGCCAAGCTCTCCTGGAAGAAAGCCACTCAGGTGAGACAGGAGCGCATGAGGGGGCGTGAGCACTCACAGGGAAAATACTACGCCTAGGGGTATACTGGCCCAACGTGTACAAGGATGTGGGGGGAGTCACGAAGAAATGCCCGGAGTGCCAAGCATTCTTCCCGTTCCAAAACCTACCAGTGACAACCATGACCAACATCAGCAGTCCATGGCCTTTCCACCAATTGGGCATCGATATCGTGGGACCATTCCCAACAGCCCCAGGGGAGGGGGGATTAAAGTTCCTATTAGTCGCAGTCGACTACTTTACGAATTGGATTGAAGCGGAGCCTTTGTCCACAATCTCGGGCAAACAGATGATCAGATTCATGTGGAAGAACATCCTGACTTGGTTTGGAACACCCAGGGTCATGATAAGTGACAACGGAACCCAGTTTAAGGGGCCCCTTCAAAGAATGGTCTGAGGAGAAGCAAATCCACTGTCGCTTTACCTCAGTCGTGCACCCCCAGGCGAACAGACAAACCGAAATATCAAATAAGACCATCGTGAACAGACTTAAAAAACGCCTAATGAAAACAAAGGGGGCCTAGACCGAAGAGCTGCCAATGGTGTTGTAGTCATACCGCACCACCGAGAGGTCAGGAACTGGAGAAACACCCTTCAGTCTAACATACGGCACGGAAGCGGTGCTCCCACTCGAGATTTTGAGCGAATCCCTATAGGTGAAGCACTTTGACACACACTCGAACGAGGAAGAGCGACGGCAAGACCTGCATATGCTAGACGAGAATCGTCAGGCAGCACAATTGCGACAAGCAGTCTACAAAGCCCGAACGGAAAACTTCTACAATAAACGGGTGTGAGCAAAAAAATTCAAAATTTGAGACTGTATGCTGAGAAATAATGAGGCCAGCCATTCGGAGACGCAGGGCAAGCTGAGCGCGACCTGGGAAGGCCCGTACAAAGTAGTGGAGATGCACCGAGACAGAGCGTAGACACTGGAAGCACAAGACGAAAGACCAATACCCTGAACATGGAACACACGCAACCTACACCACTTTTACTTATAAAACAACTGGCGAATAGTATAGCAAAAACAAAAAAAATGGGGGGTGGGGACAGTGTCGCCCGAACTTTTAGCCTCGGGGTTGCACCCAAGTCAAAGTGACAACACGTTAAACCTTCGAGATTTTGTCCAAGCAATTTCCAATTAGTAAAGTCTTGCAAGAAAATACGACAAATTTTACTCATCAACATATGAGAATATAAAAACCAAAAACAAAAAAGAAGGGTTGCGCGAATTTGCCAAACGGAATGACAGGCTGATCATCCACACCGTTTAGGCGGACCAAATTGCCAACATGCAGCCATAAATCTCGAAAAGAGATGATTCCTTAGGGGACACGTCGATTCGGCCAAACAACAAGGCCTCTAAGCTCTCGAACCAGACGTATTCAAAGGGTATGAAGGATCATAACCTTCCCCTAATAATAAAAATCTATCAGACGCGGGTCCAGGGAGCCTCGAGCTGATGACCTCGGCTCACCTTAACCGACCACAAAAGGAAGGTAGTAGGTCACCCAGCTCAGGGCCGAAGTCGAAGCCTACAAAATACTCTCTTGGGATACGCTTCCCCGAAATAAAGGCAAACATGATGACATTTCAAAAACATACAAACATTAAACACTGAAAACATCTTGTGGTGTCAAACAAACAACAAATAACAACAAAAAGGTTACAAAAAACATCCAGTAAATCATCAACCCTAATAAGACTGCGTTCACACGCTGCCCTCAACGTCGTCGTTTGGAACAACGTCCTCCTCCTCAGAACACAATTGGCGGAGATCAGCAAAACCAAGCTCGTCCAGTCTGAGATAAGATACGAAGTCTGTCTCAGCAAAAGCCCTAATGGCAACGTGCATGGCTTCAATAGACCGTGCGATGGCGCCCGGTTCGGATGGGCCGGAGCCGCTACCAGAGGAAAACACCAGTGCCACCTGTTTTCCTCTCTCCATACCAGCAGCCACACACGCGGCCTTCACGTAGCGAATCCTGAGCGCAAACTCACTGCTCTCGACAACACGGTCTGACAGCCGCCACCAAATAAGGAGCCACCTGAGCAGTGGTGTACTGAAGATCATCCTGTTGAGTTTTGTATACTACAACATCCTATGGTGCACATACAACCCTAAATACCTTGGATCTATGTTTTCACTAATTATACATGCAATATTGTTTCCAAGGTATTAAGCCTATAACTAGCATGCAATTGACATATACCATACAATATACTAGTTAGGTTAACATACCTTTTATGTAGCTTGAAGTCTTGATGTATTTGGCCTTAAGAGCTTATCCCCAATAGTGTGGAATCCTCAAATGAAGTCACAACACATCATGAGCAAGGAGGAACTTGAGAGAGAATTCCATGCACCCAAAAACACCCATGAACTCCCAGAACTTGCATAAGTGGTGTTTTTGGCTATGTACTCACCTATTTACATGTATGATTCCAAGGGTCATGGGTATAACCCAAATCCATACCCATAGGAGTTATGATCCATGGTTCGTGTGGCCCAACCCATTATGTATCCATACATAAACTTGGTCCAACATGGATCATAAGCGCAACACATATAAATATAACTAATTACCATAATTAGTCCCCATAGATTTAATTATTCTCTTTTGATCACTAAATTAATTCTTGATCAATACTAATTAAACCATATGATTTCATATTAATATATTAGAACATATAATATATTAATAAATCATATATAACCTTCTCTCAAAAGTCCATCCTAACAAATTGTCCTGATGATATGCAATCCAAATGGACCATGCTACTCTCGGGTCAAGTACAATAATAGTTATGGGCTTAGACATCTAATCCAACAGTCTCCCACTTGGATAAATCGAAAACTATTATTGCAAGTACGACTCCAAAACCCGACTAGCAATCGTAGCTCTTAAAAGCCGTTGTCGAACTCTGACATAGTCAATGACATGTCCATTAGCTAAGAGATCATATATTCCTCCATTATAGATACCATATGGACTGAAACATGGATTATAATCATACTCTCTGTCCATCTGTTGTTTCCCAATTTCCGATTTATGACGACCCACAGATATCGCTTTTATCCCTCCAAGGGTATAAGGAATGGATAAACTTCGACTCATATGCTTGTACTAACTACTTGTTGAATCATACACAAAGGCACGTTTTATAACATCAAGTTACTGATGCGTTTTTGTACAATCAATGTATAACCAACTCATAGTCAACAACTCATATCTCTAGGTTTGAAGAATATAAGATATTATCGTCTCATGATCACTCGTGATAAAATCCATGAAGTGATTCAAATGAGTGTGGGTTTAATCCAATGCACGAATCTTATTCCAAGAGCACTCATGAATACTGCAGCTATGTCTAGGCCACCTAGACAAACTACAGACCCATTCATGATAGTCTTGCCTCAATACCTACTTCCAAAGTATGATCGACTGTGGACGGTTTGAATAACCTAGTTATTCGGGAAAGCAAAACATCCAAAGTGAAACACAAGAACAATACTAATCATATATGGCCCAAACACTTTTGAGTCATATTGATTACTCATTATTCATTGTATAATGTTTCGATCTATCAACTTAATACTTGAATTGAAACAATAGTTATGCCATGCTCCAAGCATGCACACTATGTTTGTCTATGGTCCTTTGTTTGTGGAATAGATCAATTGACAACATTTCAAATGATACTCATTTCACAATTCCAAATCCTTATCGCAAATGTAAGAATACAAGATTCTTTTCCATTTACTGAAATCTGTTAGATTCTAAACTTACATGTATTGATCCTTTTGTAATGACTATGCACAAAAGCCACAAAGACTCAGCAACAGACATTACAAAGTATTCCAATGTAGAGCAATTTCATGGAAACGAAGTCTCACATTCAAAGTACATTCCTTTGAACATCCTTCTTGCATTAAGTTTCCTAATCTTACAAAGATTTGAAGAACAACTTCCACCTATGGAAACATTTCCATATTCCTATTTTTTACTATCACTTCTGAACAAGAGTTGTCTTTTTTTAGAATATGTCAATATGCTCCTTACAAAATTAACATTATACTTCCAACTGTCCATGAGTAACCAATCTTTGGTGAGCCTCAGATTATCCTCGACAATTGCTTAATCATTTTAGTCATATATAATTCTGGTCCTTTTTCCCTCTTAATGCCCTACGCATTTGGAAAATTCAGAACACATAGAAATATTATGGCATATGCAATCGATCCTATACCCGAAGCATATGGGATATCATTCATAATGTCTCACATAAAGACATGATCCTAGACCAGTCTTCTGCTATAATATTTTTCTATTTGCCATGTTCTCATAATTCGAATTATGAAAAAGGATTTTGTAACTATAATCGAATTTTAGAACGCAAATAATATTTCCATATACAGAATTTCCTTGTGTTGAACCATTCCAACACAACATCCATATATATACCTGACTAAATTTGATTAAAAATCTCAATCTAAGCTTTTAGAATTGGAATGAAGTATAATTTCCTCTCCCTTAATTTTAGCAAAACAGCTTTTCAAAACCTGTAACTTTGCAAATTGAAACTTTTGTTTTCTATAATTAACATTGCTAACTTGCAACATAATAATCATGCTCCCATTAACATGATAATTATATTCTTATCAGCATAACACTTATGCTCCCACTAGCTTTGACATATATCCAGAAATTAGCTGGACTTCTAGAAATCAATACTTTATTGACTTTCTTACCAAAGTTCAGATTTCTGATGCGAGATGCTTTGATAAGAATTTATCTAAGCTTCCCAAAATCATACACCATTCCTTAGATAGCTCACATGTGTGTCTAAACAATTTTAGAACTATGAAAACGGATGTCGTAATCATAGTCTTAAATATTTAGACCTTTGCAATTGCTTACAATTCCATGTTAGTGTGCCAGTTAACCACACATGCTCCGCTAACGACTTTGAGAATGAAAATATCACAATTGCTATCTACTTAAAATCTACTTAGTGAAACCGTTTCCTCACCATCATTTTCTTGAATCGGAGAGAAACCTTATGACACTTCGATTTTTATGGTGTATGTGTTCCTATCCATGTGAATTTGTCAAAAACATAACCACAAGAGGAGGTTAGTGACAAATCCAAACTCATATGGACTGAACTTGTTCAATCTTAATTTCTTGCCACTTGGCAGCACAAGGGCCTACCATTGCATCCAGGTTGTTATGCAAACAACTGATACCTCATAGAACTCATATGCATAATCAACTTTAACTGGAATGGGCACAGAAACAAGAATAGGTCAACACGATAGGTTACAAACCTCAAGTCGCATGCTAGTGATAAACAACACCCTTGATTAGTTCTTGAGACCGTTTTCAAGATCATTAAGACTCTCACTGACCTCTTGACATATAAGATTCCCTTGTCAAGAACCATTCCTTAACAAAACAAAAATTCAAGAGTTAGTGCGGATTCTTATCAAGACAAACACTTCACACAATTGGCCTTAGTTGGTCTTTGTTTTATCCAAAACATCACAACTTACCAAGTTGAAATGCACAAGAGTAGAAAATATTTTACTCTACATTTGATAAGTGTTTTAACCTTCTTAACATTATGTCACTCAAGGCTCGATCTTGGGGTGTTACTCTAAGACTCAATTTTGGAACGAAGTATGATTCATCTTTTGATTTAACCATTTCAACAATTTACGATTCCTCTTCTTAGTAAAACAAATGCACTAAGATGTCCTTAGAGGATCAATCGTGATATGGTTTTTCATAATCATTAGGATGATCATCAAACATGATACTGAAGTACTCTCCCATCTTTTCAGATTGGAGAAACTTTTATCTTTCTGCCTAATTTGATTCTTCTCATTCGTCCTGCCATACATTGAAACTTTTCCAATGTTTCAGAATTATACTTAAACTTGTAAGCATAACCATATTTACTAAACTTTGGTAAATCATGACGAATAGCCTTATCGTTCTTTGTGGTGGACCTGATCAGTGCACAACCAAGTGTACCCGATCTCCTAGTCCTTCACTTGACTCACATATACATACGAACAAGGAACTAGTCTTGATTTCCCAAAGATGAAAATTCTCATTCATCATACAATACAAGTTGCATGATCCCAAGTTTCTATCCAACTAAAACTTTCTTGATGAGAATCTTTCCTTATTTGGTAAATTATGACACTACCACAAATGAAAGAATCAAATCTATTTTCCAATATTGCTATCAATGAAATCATATAAACAACAACTTTTTTTCACAAATGTCATTGTAAGGATACTTAAAATAAATAAAATCAAAAATTTCCTTTTATTTTAAAATTGCGGAAAGACTTATCCTTATAATGCAAATACATATGAAAACAATGTTGTTGTCTATTCCTAAGCAATCTATCATAATTCTTAAGCAGCAGCTCAAAATTCTGATCTTCGAATCATGCGATCGAAATCCATCTTCGCGATCAAATTCATCATACTATTCTTCTAAGCTTCCTCTCTTTTTCCGATTCTACAAAACATCAAAATGTGACCTAGTTACATCATGTAATAAGAATCTTCAAATAGGAACTTAGTATAGTTAGATAGTGGACTTTACCTGAAGCATAGCCAAATTTATTGACTCTTACCATCATAGTGAGCTTTCAGGTAAATTGGGCAGCTTTGCAACCAATGCCCCTTCCTTTTGGCAATAAAACATATGGACTCTTTAGTAATGGTACATGGGACTATCTCAGACTTAGCCTTTCTCTTTACCATTTGGTCAACCGGGTTGATTATGGCCGATCCCTTTCCATTGGGAAGAGAAGACTTTTCTGGACTTCTAATTTTTCCATTGTCAATATCCATGAAAGTTTGGGACGTAGATCTTCCAATCAAATTTTCTTTACAAGTGCTCCAAATCATTTTTGATTTAGCAGCAACAAGCAAATAGGTAAGATCATTAAGGGTCATGTCGTCGTCTGTCACATAGTAGTCCTTAATGAACTCACTATATGACTCGGAAAGTGATTGAAGAACGCAGTCAACAGTTAACTTCCTTGAG